ATTTCTCAGACCGCAGCACAGTAGCGCCTCACTATAAAACAAGCGCGTCTCCGCTGTAGTCATAATGCCATAATGGTGCGTTTGTTTTCTCTCGGAACTCGGAAATTCTGAGTTGAGTGACATCACGTCCGACAAGCTCCCGTTCGAGCTACCACATCTCAGAACAAACATGGCTGCCTCCATGAACACGCTGCTATGTGTTGTTGCTTTATGTTTTAGCAGATTTGGAGTGAGATTATTTTTTCCGAGAGACAATCAAAAAAGAAATACGAACTAGTCAAACCACATTAAAAGCTTTATAAAATATTTTAGTACATTCATAGCAATATTCTTTTTTCGAGAGGGAAACAAACTACAAACAAACCAAAGACACTAACAAGTCTGCTAAAAATCTGATATTGCATGCTAGGATACTGTTTACGGTCATGATATGGTATTCTCTAAATTGAACGTGTGCAATTACATTTATAACTATTAATACATTTAACAAAATAAACATTTTTAAAGATTTATAAAATAGAATTACTATTGAGTGTGCAAGCCGCCATGTTGAAATTACGTCACAGGGGCAACTCGGACAACAAAATCTTGTCCGACTTAAACGTCATAAAAGAGGCGTGTTTCCGATGGGAAGTGAGGTTATTCGTGACGTTTTTTATCCGAGTTCCGACTTGGAGAGAACGAACGCACCATTAGAGCCTGTCACTTACCACCCAATCAAAAAAAAGAAAGGGCCTACACAATAGCCAATCAGAAAATAGTACTATTGTATCTGGGTTAAACGGAACACAACAACCAATGAAAAGGCGTCCTATGGAATGTCACTCTTGCCTGTCCTCAAAGTTTGAGAGCCCTGTCAGCAGCTCTTTACTTACCAGTGCAGGACATTTTCTGATCTACTATCAGGCTGTAACCAACAAGGCAGGAGCAGTAGTAGGATCCTATTGTGTTCTGGCATTTGGCCTTGGGGCCACAGATGCCTATGACATCCAGACACTCGTTTCTGTCTGGTGGGGGAAGGACCAATAGTCAGTCAGTCAGCCTGCGGCGGGTATTCGGCTGGGGCTGGTGGGGGGTGTCTACCCAGTGAGTGGCACTAATAATGATCTGTGCCAGTCTTTATTTGAGAAAAGGGAGAGAGGGAGAGTGAGGGTGAGAAGGAGAGCCTGTGGAGGAAGAGGGAGGGTGAGGATGAGAGGGAGAGCCTGTGGAGGAAGAGGGAGGGTGAGGATGAGAGGGAGAGCCTGCGAAGGACGAGGGAGGGTGAGGATGAGAGGGAGAGCCTGCGAAGGACGAGG